CGGTTGTTGTTTGAGTTTCTTTCTTTTTCCTTTTTCTTTTTTTTCAAATAGCAATAGATGATTTAAGCGGAGAAGGTATTCGCCTCGTAACGATCGAAGTAAGATTTATCAATACGTTTGCTAATTCCGTTCGTTCCGATTGGACACTTTTCTTATCTCTATAAAAAATTTGTTACATCGTTTGTACATACGCGTTAATAAAACTATAGATAAACTTGCACGAGACGAAATATAAAGCTAGGCTTTTTTTTCTAATCCAAGATACGTTTATCTCTTGTAATCGTAGACATCCGTAAGCGTGGCTGATTTTATCAAGGATCTGCGAAACATCTCCGATTCCTTCTCTAGCCTGCGACGCGTTCAGCACCCAGAAAGACCTAATTTATAGCTTCGTACATAATTTACAAAGCTTGTGTCAAGCTTCTCCTAAGTTTACCACGATAGACTACGTGCACAGCGTGTTTCCGTATCAACGCGCATAAAAACTCGAGTCATCTTTACGCGCTGTTGCGCGGGAACGAATGTTTGACTGTTCCCTTCTGTAGAGGGAAAAATATTCGGCCGATCGGGTTCTGCTAGACCGAGATTTGAAACCCGGTTTCTCCGCTTGTCGGCCGAGTACTTTTCCGATTAAGCTAAAGTCGTCTAGATTTCGCACGTGATAATACCGATCTAAGACGTATCTAGAGTTACTCGGAATCAGTCGGAGAGGTAAACGACGTATCCCTCGTTCTTGTTACATTCAATTCGTTCGTACGCATCCACGTACGATATCCCCCGAAAGAATATCCTCCCCCTTTCCGAGCTACTCGTCGGTCGATGCGACAGCCGGATATACATATAAATGTGAACGTGTAAACGAAAATCTCCAAGACGAAGGATGAACGAGAAGGCGGGTGAGCGAAATAAACGCGTTCCTTGTGTATCATGGTCGTTCATACAGGGCATAGTTTTCGCCGCGTTTAATCAACATCTTGCTCGTGCTATACGCGAGACAATGTCAACAAGTCGTTTGAGGGAAAATAGAGAGAGAGAGAGAGAGAGAGAGAGAGAGAGAGAGAGAACAAGAAGGTTCCCGTTCCACGCGAGTTCCGAGCATACTACATAAATGATCGCTCCTATCTCTCTGCCGCTTATCATTTTGCCTTTCATCGTCCTTCTTGTCTCTTTGACGGGTCTTAGATTCTCTCTCCCTCTCTCTGTTTGATCTTCATCGTACTCTTCGTTCAGGAGCCCATTCAGGACTTTCAATCCTTTCACGAACACCCGACCATTTTCTTGTTCGCGGGTTATTCAGGTCTTGGTAAGGAGGGCGCGACGTCGGGTCGTCGAGTTTAACGAATCAAAGGAATACGATTAATATCGAGTAGGTGTTTGTTTGTCGCTCGAGTGGTATACACAGGCTGGCGGAAAAGATATTTGTAGAGCGCGAATCTATCATAGATACCGAGGCAACGAAGAAAGTTCGTGTACGAAAATCTTGTCCGAAGATTTAGTAGCTGCTAGGTTCGTAAATCGATCGATCTAAAGTGTATAAAACTTATACTAAATTAAGCATATCTTTGTATTCAACGGAATTACGGGCTCGTTATTTAGAAATAGAAACGCGATAGCGAATAAAGAAGAAAGTCTTGATATTGTCCTTTATTCTTGCAGTTTTTATCATCAGTGACATCCTACGACGATCGTACCGCGAACCTGTTGTCCTATTTGAATAAATTTTCACGCTCGCCGTATCATGCCCATGCATGGTTACGTTTGGAACGTAAATATCGCCGAGATCTATTTTATTAGCATAATGCGACGATAGCGGCGCAACTTTCAACAGCTTAAATGTCTGCATTATACGAACGGCATAAACGTACCTGATATCTTCCGCGGATATTCAAATTCTTCTTTTTCAACTTTATGAATAAAGAGCGTCGAAACAGACTTGTCGATAATCCGTTAAATTTCGATCTTTGATCCTGGCGTAAGCAGCGATTCTTAAATTTTATTCTTCAATTTTACAAATGCTCTACGTAAAACGCGTAAATAAAATCGATTTTCAGAGTCGCAGATATTTACTTGAAAACAGTTTCATCAGCTACATGAAAACGTTAAAGATACTCGCGTCGTCTCTCTTGGGAGCGGGTTCTATCGTAATCTTTAAATCGTAACGCAACTATGCTTATAATTTCACAGGATTAGCTTTAGACGCTAATACCGTTATGAAGTCCATCGCGTCAAGTAAATTAAAAGTTAACAACGAATTACGGGAAATAATGTTCACGATGGTCGATACGTGTGAAATCTACGTATATTCTGCTCCAAACGTGTTCTATGCAGTGTCCTACCACGGTGCATCGTACCAAGTTCCAAGTTATCGCGAGGATTTGATGGTCACAGTCCGCAACGTCGAAGCTTACGCGCACCGCGATAGAAAACGAAGAAAACGGTCGATCGATATCCAATAAACATCGGAGGACGGAGAATCGTTTCCGGAATTTCCTACCGAACGCGCGTTCGTCGAATCGTGCTTTCCTATATCGCGCATTGTAAATAAATCGCGATTATCGCGAATAAACAATTATTACGCGGGGAAATCACCAGCGACCGCGCAACGATGTCTATAGTCGAATGCGATACAATCGCGTCGTGCTCCACTCTCACTGTTGTTCGTCCGTGTTTTCGCGGAAAATATATCAAAATATTGCAAGTTAACGACCGCTACCTGCTACCTTTCGACATAGGGGTGTACTTACCGTTAGAAGGAAGCATCGATAGAGTCACAGGGAAATGTACGGCGATTGGCAATTATACTTTCGTCGAAACTGGGCCGATTCTTAATCGTTAGGTCAACTACGTAGAAATTCGTCGACGCGTTAAAATTTGCTTCGCGTCCATCCAATACGTTGAAACGTAATTTCGTGTCAGCGCGAAAACATCCAGCACCGAATACGATAAAAATTCTACGAGATTGAAGTACTCGTCGTACGATCCGATATTTGGAAATAGCTTGGGCTGTTGTTCGTCTTAGTTGGTGGTTAATCGAGACTTTGGTCTATACGATCTACTTTCGATTCTGGCGGAATTGTTGGAATAGCTGAATACTCGGCTTGAAACGTCGTTTTCAAGCACCATCGCGTCCTTGCCTCAAACTCTCGGACTATGCGTCAACAACGTCCGCTTAACTATCAACTATTAACGAAGACCTAGTTACGGTCTATATAAAAAGAGAAAAATGATCGTAGAAACGCGGTTATCTTGGCGAACTTGGATACCTGGCTGATTTCGCGAGATATCTACGGAATTCGTCAAGGAATGCGAACAATGTCGTCAAAGTCGATCCGCTCGTGAATCACAGCGCACATCGACGTTGCTTCGCTGTGTCGATACTGTCGAGAGGAGAGATCAAGGCGCGACGTAGCAAAGAAAGGAAAGAGACAAGGAGAAACAGAGGGAAAGAGGGAGCAGCAACAGGTGGCATCAAAAATTCATTCGCGATGCCCGTTATCGACTACGACGGACAGCTGTTTCTGGGGATCGATCGCCGCTCTTAATTGTAACAGCGAACGGTCCACGGCACTCGCGTTATCGTCGACCTGTTAATCGTGCCCTGTCTCGCAGAACGAGCTTCCCCTTCGATCGTGTCTGATATCTCGGTCGATCGACGGCGCCCGACCATAGTCGCGTTGGATCGCTGAACGCGATCGGTCAAGACTAACGAACAGAACGGATTAACGATTACGATCGACGAGACGCTCTTTTATAACATTATCGACGCGGTTTGCCTATAAATCGCGATCGTACGACGAACGTTGGAACGCGAGCATCTTCTATTTCATACGGACGCTATAGTTTGAATTTAGGGCTAGAACGAGAAGAAAACGTCGTGCGAAAGCAAATTGTTGGTTGAGCGTTTGGCAACGGTGCCCTGCTACGTGGAGTTTTATCCTTGTCACGTGCAAAATGGTCTATCCAAGCTACGATCAAAGAGAATTACGGTTAGGGTTGAAAATAAAAGCGGACGGGTAGTAGAAACAGGTATCCAAGGCCAAGTTTCGTTTGTCATGTCGTTAAAGAATCATCTCGTATAGAGTATCGTATACTTTTTTGTATATCGATTCTTTTTTCGTAGCACAAGTACAGCCACCGGATTCTTTTACAGGGATTCGTACGATCGATTTCGGACTCTCTGTATTTTCAGATTTCAGGAGCTGGTTGACCCGACTACCGAGTCTTATCGCCGGATAAGAAAAACGAAGGTCGTCCCTCTAGCGAGGCTAGCAGGCGTGGTTTTTGCGTTTGTAGGTAACGACGCTCTAGGGGTAGTATTTCGACGGTAATCGCAAAGTCTTTGATGGCGTTCCTTCGAGAAAGTTAGTTCGTTAAATCGCTCGTTCGTTCGCGCCTGGTTTTATCGAATAATCTCGTTCTCTGATATCGCCAAGTACATTTGAAATATAAGTGCAAGAGCGAGATATACATAGATAAAACGATATATACGTAGACAAATATAGAAATACTTAATGAATATAGAAATCTTAGTCTCCTACGTTACAAGTTAGCTTTCGATTACACACTTGTTAGTTAAATTAAAGAAATATGTCTAACATTGCGTAACAAATAACACGTTTGACGCTATGACAAAGATAAAGACACTCGACTATTAATAAGTAGACGTAGAAACGAGGAGCAGAGAGTTCGATATCTAATTATTTTAGCCTTCCAACGAGCTATCTTCGTTAGATCATCGACAATCCGTACTAAGAATCAAGAGCTCGATCGAATAATCGTCAAAGTTTCCAACGATAAGCGGAGAAAAACAATTCGGCCAATTCTCAAATAAATACAACGATCCCGGTAACAGGTTATTTTACGAAGCTATATTTGTACGAGTTGGTACGAATCTAACGCTAAATATAATCGAGAAACGAGCAACGATCACACGCAGCAATCGTACATGGTACGATAAAAGCTACTACCACGGTAATGTAACGGATTCCTTACTTATCCGTTGTTTTAACCTTTATAAAGAAGCACCTGGTAAATCAAACGCCGTAACTAAGGTGAGTCGTAAAACGTATGCGCAAAGTACTCGGGTATTTCGTTCTTCGAAGGAAGATGTATCGAATTCGGTACGCTTGTTCCATCTTCCCGAGAGTACGATAAAGTTTGATTCGCGCGAACAACGTTACCTAAGTAAGATGGTCGATCTATAAAATAAAACTTAAATTAAGCAAACAGTCGTGACTCACCTTAGTAAATCCATTTACCGACCTCGTATCTAACGTCTAAAGCCGTATTCGCTCGGCCAAATTGCACCCGCTCTACTTTCCGCCAGTCCGGCGAAAGAAACCATCTCTGTCTCTTTCTCTCTTTCGCTTCGCTTCACGAATCTATCCAATGAATAGCCTTGCCCAGTAAATAGTCCTTGGTGCAAGCGAGCACGCTGTTCGAGTCCACGTAATCCATCAGTTGTCTACCCACGTTCACGAAGAATCCCAAGGTCCTTAAAAAACCCATAAACACTTGGCGAAAATAGAAAAGCGCGTCGTGCGCTCTATTCGTTTCACGTGTCTCGACTTTTGCCATCGAGGATCGTCGACCTTGATCCTTAGTCGTCGACGATCGACTGCCGTAATCCCCCATAAATCGTCGGTAGGTGACGGGAAATAACGAGGGATCTCCCTCGGGACGTCGAGTAGCCGACTTTTTTCCCGTTCGTTCGGTAACCGACGTCTCGACGATGTAACCGTGATCGTTCCTTCGATACCGATTATCATCGTTCGTAGTGGACGATCGTTTCCAGGCGTTCCATTCTTTTCGACTTTGCAGCCGTTTCCGATTTTTGCTCTCCGATTTTAGGCGAACGAGACCGCTTTCAGCTTCTTCGACGACAATGGGTGATTCGCGGCTTATCGCTAGACCGCTATCTTGGTATCGCTTCGAACGATATACCGTTTCCTTCGAATCGTCGAGTCCAGTTCCGTACAAGCCTTTCGCGTTTCCTTCCAACCACCCTTCCTCGCTTCTCGATAGATTTTTGACGCCGTTCGTCCAAACATCGTCGTTGGACGTCGCGTATCTCGCGCCGAATCTCGCAATTTCACGCAGAGTCGTCGGGTTATAGAAAGAGGCGCGTTTGCTTTTCGACGGAGACCGAACGAACCGGCTTCTTGTCCGATCGTTTGCGTCACGTTTACGACGTAAATTTCCCTGGTAATTGTCCCAAGTATTTTGAAACGCGAGATTCGACGGACCGAACTCTCTCAGGCGGAAAACATCGCTCGGTTTCCTACTATTATCGACTCGCTCGCTCGTCTCGGTGTTCTTAAATCTCCGATTCAACGACGCGATCTCTCCGAGAGGCAACGAACGAGATCGTTTCGATGGCTCTAGTCGCGAGAGCGTACCGGAAGTAACGCGATTCGTCTTCGAGAATAGAAGTTTACAGCGTCTATCCACTCGGAGATTCTCCGACTTTCCGCTAAGATCGCCTTCTGCTCGAGTTCTTTCAAATTCCGCGTCCATCCGCGCCATCTTCTCCGTTTTCTCCCTCGGGGACGAGCGATCCTCCCGATTCTCTGGTTGTTCTTTCGTCGACGAAGATGAAACGAGCAACGAGACTCCTTCGACGTGGTCGACGATTGGAAGCCAAATACCTTTCCGACAGACACAGTTTATCGATCTCGAATCAGAGCCAACAGCGTTTCTCCGCTCGTTCGGCCAAACTTTCGCTTTGCTGGTTTTCGAACGTACGTCGGAAGTTGGGTCTTCGACGGTCAGTTTTTTTCCCTTTCGTCTTTCAAAAATGCTGCTCTTTGATGTATTTGAAAATTTGTCCACGTTCGAGTTTCGAAGCAAGCGCGACGGTTCGATGAAACGTTTGTTCGCGAGGGCAGAGTAATCGTGCTGCGTATCTTTGGGAAATGCCTGTTCGATCCGATCGGTTGCAGGATCGATATCCCTCCATCCGGAACTCGAGCATAACTCGTTCGATTTAAACTTCGTCCTGCTAGTTTTCGACCGTGTATTCCAACTTGCGAGTTCTCGAGCAAAGGCATCGCTAGCGATCTTCGACGTTTCCTCGATATTCGCGTCTACGGAGTTCGATATTTCGGAGGAACGTCTATCACGACGCGGTGCATTCCTAGGAAATCTTTCGTACTCTACGGGATCGTCGTTCTCAGGATTCCGAGTTTTCACGTTTGCTTCTAGTTTTGCTTCGCCGGTTCCCGAATGCGTATCGAAAGTCGCGGACTTTTTAACGGAAACGTTCCATTCGGTAGTCTTTGAATTCTTGCGCGAAACTTTGGAAATTAGTTTCGAAGCTACCGATTTCATAAAGTTCGCAGGACCGTTGTTCGTGGTAGATCTAGAAATTGAATTTTTTCTATTCCGCTCGAACCTTGTCACGCTAGATCCTAGACTCGCATTTGAAACTATGTGTACAGATTTCTCGATAGGAGTCGCGTCCCTCGCACCGATATTCTCCAAAATCTCCTTTTCCCTCGTTGAATTCAGCGTTTCGCTGTAGCTAGATTCTCGCCTATCGATAGGAAATTCGATCGATCGAAAATTCACGTTCGTTCGCGTCCAGTTTTTCGACGATGCGCGAACACGCTTGTTTAAGATTTTCGAAATTTCATCTTTCTTCTTAAAATTGTGCCTTCCGTAGGATCGCTTATTACGACGATATCCTCTACTACCTATCCTCGTACGATTTGCCAAATTACTCGAGACCTCGGCGAATCTCCGATTCGATCTCAATTCGGACAAGTTATTCGATTCGGACGCTACGTTTTCCGTGTGTTTCGAGCACGGGCTAAACTTCTTCTCCCAAGTCTTCGAAATTTCTCTCTCCTTCGTAGATTTTGGCGTTTCTTTGCCGCTGTCCGCCGTCAAAACGGCAAGTTTCCTTTCTGTATTCTTGGGAAAGTTCGCGCAACTCGTACAACGATTGTTCTTATTACGCGTGAAATTCGATTCGAGTCCGTTCCATCTCGACTTATACTTTTGCGTTATGCGCGAGTACATTGTCTTGGAATTTCTCGACGTGTCCAAAATTTCCTCTTTCTTCGTAGAACTCTGTATCGCATAAGATCGTTTGCTACGATAACGCGTCCCGCGGTTTTCTATCGCGATAACTCCCCAATGGTTCCAGGGCTCTTTTTCGAAACCGTCGTTTTCCACTGGTAGAAAATTCGATGGGTCGATCGACTGGGACGACGGGATCGTGGCGTTTGTCGCGTCTTCCTCGTGATGCAGAAAGTACTCCGCCCAACAATAGCCGAGAGCCACTTCCTCCTCGTACATCTGGTAGATTCTACGCCAATATTTAAGCGTTCCCCGTATCAGAGCAAAGAGATCCATCATTTCGCCGGCTTCCGCCGGCGGCAGCGG